CGGGCACGTTAGATTTTTGGGGGGGAGAGGAAGGCTTGGAGAAGTTGCTTTTTCCTGCCCTCAAAATGTAACTTTTTCCCACCTCTGATGGGCGGAAAGGGAAAAGAGAAAGAAAAAAAAAACACCATTCAGGTGGTTGTCAGGTGTTTTTTTGGGGGGGTCGCCTCAGATGGTTGGTCGCCCTTGCTCAACCATTTCTTCCTCGACCTTTCAGAGCCAGATGTTTAAAAATGAGCATACATTTATTTATTTTCTGGGAAGGTTGGGGGTGGCTTTAGCCCATTAAAAATGTTTTTTTAAATGCAGATGGCGGTGGTGCAGTAAGTTCAAGTTGCTTGTCTTGTTATTAAAAAGGGGGTCACAACCCGAGAAAGGTTGGGAACCACTTGTGGGAGGCAAATGGCCCCTCGTTGACACCTTTTGGATGGAGTTTGGCTTGTCTGTGCAAGAATTATATCACACTAGAAAAATATATATATGGGGGGGGGAGATGAAGAGAGAGAGACCAAAATATTGTGCCACCATAAAAAAATAATGTATATGTTAAGGTGAGCTTAATGCTTAATATTTTAATGCGGATTTGATCTGTGGAAGCTCTTACTAAAACCTACCAATTAGATGCCACAACATATTTTGTCTCCTGCCTTTTGGTTCTGTTTCATTGTCTGAGATACTTTTTGGATGGGTCTTTCCTCCACGAATGAAATCTCCGCAGATAGCATTTGTTGAGAACTGCTGGGGTGTTGTGTTGGGATTTGTGGGGTTCCACACTTTCGCCTCCCCTCAGTAATGAAACTCATGGGCCAGCCTTACTCTTTAAGCCCAACCTTCCTCATATTGCGGCTGGGAAGGTAAAACATGGAGGATAAAAGAGACAGGTATAATTGCCTTGGATGCCTTGAAAGAAGTGCAGCATATGATAAATAAGAAGTTGCCATCTTTTACTTCTTAGTAATGCGAAAAGGTGCTTTGGACATGTTGAGGGCTGTCAGCGGCTGCTTGCTATGAAGTGAGCCCGAATGTACAGATGTAGCTTGCCTCTGGAATTCATAGCAAATGAGGTCAAGGGTCATGGCCAAGAGAGGTAAATGAGACATCTCAATATTCTAAGGCTGCCTTTCCCAAGCTGGGGGGGGGGGTCCATAACCCCCAAGGAGAGGTCACAGTGTGAGGGGTTTGGGGGTCACCTTATGTATGTTGCAGCCCTTGCTAAATAATTTCTTCCTTGACCTTTCAAAGTGCAAGAGAGGTAAATGAGACATCTCAATATTATAAGGCCGCCTTTCCCAAACTGGGGGTCATAGCCCCCAAGGGGGTCACAGAATGATCTGAGGGGTTTTGGGGTCACCTTATATATGTTGCAGCCCTTGTTAAATAATTCCTTCCTTGACCTTTCAGAGTGGGATATTAAAGTTAGTGTGTATGTAAAACAGGCCCTTTAGGGGAGAAAGGACCTGCTTCTTTCTAAGAAGGGAGGGCTTTCCCCATTAAAAATGCCTTTTTATGCAAATATAGTAGGGTGTCACAGGTTACTTAGCTATTATTAAAAGGGGTGGCAACTTGAAAAATATTGGGAGCCATTGTTCTGACATTCTTGAGTGATATTTCCTTGAACAGCTGTTAAGTATAGTAGCAGAATAGGAGTTTACATGTATAGGATCATATCCTTCTGAAGTCCCTGAGGAACAAGTTAACCTATGGTTGCAAGCCACAAGAGCAGAATAGTACTTCTGTGGACTGTGGTTTGTTTCTAAATCAAAGAGTTCAGTGTAGGAGAAGGGCATACAACCCTGATTACTGCCAAGCAGTAGTTGGCAACTTGTAGCCCCCTAAATGTTGATTTGACCCAACTCCGGGAGGCAGTGGAAGACAGGAGGGCCTGTCGTTCTCTAGTCCATGTGGTCACGAAGAGTCGGACACGACTGAACAACTAAACAGCAACAACAAATGTTAGCCTCTACTGTTGGGTGGGAACATTGAAGATTTGCAGTCCAGCAGCATCTGAAGGATCATAGGTTGCTCAGCCTTGCTTTAAAAGATAGGCCCACCCTATGTAGTTGCTATATTTGGGCCTGTTTGTATGTCATAGATTAAGCAAGATAATAGGAATATTGGGAAAGTGACGTTTGCTGAGCTTCCAAAGGACAGCTGAAGCTGGATCTTTTGGTCCGCAGCTTTTTCAAAATCGGTTGAAAGAAAATGCCTAACTCTGAAGAACAGTTTCAATCTGTTTTTAAATGTTTGCAATGTCCTTTTTAATGAACTTTAATCTATTATAAATTGCTTTCAGAGGTTGGCTAGGCACAAATATGATAAACACAATGAATGAATGAATGAATGAATGAATGAATGAATGAATGAATGAATGAATGAATGAATGAATGTGTTATTTATTACAGTTGTGAGGGTTCTAATGTGAAACATTCCACTGTTTGGAACACAGATGCTGGAAAGACAGCTATGGCCCTTCTTCATATCCCATGCTGAAGTGTAGCTGATAGCTACAGAGGAACAGATCTATTTGGTGATGGCCTCTCAACTGGGGGAACTTCAGCTGGCACCCTCCCTTGGTATCAGCTCAGTACCAGGCAGTTACCTTTTTATTTTACCAGTCTTTTTAATTCTCTGCATGCTGCTTTGGTGCTTCTTGGTGTTTGTTTTAATACTGATGCACTGGTTTTTCATATGTGTTTTTAAAATGGTTTGTTTTATGGTCTTTGATTTAATTTGTTGTGTTGTCATTTTAATTGTAAATATTTGGAGAAAACTGGTGAGGGTGGGCTATACATCCTAGAGATACTAAATGTTTACTGGATGGAATCAGAAATTTCTTCTGGCATTCAACAGCATGTTTACAACCCCTGTTTGATTCTTGTTCTGATGTCAGAGGATCACAAGCGGGCTGGATTATGTTACTCAATACTCAGGTGAACCATGACCATACTGGATTGGGTCAAAATGAAGTTGAACAAACTACATTTCAGGTGAAATTAGACTTAAACCTGTGGGTTCAGCAGGAGTAACATTCAGCTAACGTAATCTGAAATCACCTCTTCAACTTTAAAGCCATAAGCGGTGTTTATTAAAGCAATATAATTTTTGTTTCCAAATTTCCCAACATCAATTTACTATTGCTGAATTAGACTTGCGGTTAGATATGGTCATTTAGGAGCAGGTAGAAGGCAGTAATGAAAAGAGAAGACTCACTGGAAAAGACCCTGATGTTGGGAAAGAGTGAAGGCAAGAGGAGAAGGTGACAACAGGGGACAAGATGGTTGGACAGTGTCACTGAAGCTACCAACATAAATTTGACCAAATTTCAGGAGGGCCTGGTGTGCTCTGGTCCATGGGGCCATGAAGCATCGGACACAACGACTAAACAACAAAGAAGGCAGCAAAAGAGTTGTGATTTTTTTTTCCAAATATAAAATCTATTTTTCAGATTGCTGCTTTAACGTGCTGTTGAATAACATAAAGTTATCCTGGATCCAGAAAAGTGCTGCAGATTCTTGCACAAACTAATTATGAAGAAAGAGATTAATCCTTTTTAAATTGATGACTGTCCATCAGAAACAGCCCAAACTGAGTCAATTAGTAAATTAGTGTGGCTTTCAAATCAGTATCCAGGGCAGCTTTGAAATACTTAATCAGAGGTAGTGCAATGTTTCTTAGAAGGCCAAGATGCTTATTCATACTTGTGTATTTTTTTTCCTTCAGTGCACCCTTGTGGCTTTCTCAGTGCCAATCTGATTTGACAGTGTGCAGATTGGTAGTATCCAAACATGAAATGCACTTTGAGTTCTTTATCCAGGAGTCTTTTGTTAATGTTTCAGTTCAAACCCACAAACTGGAGAAATTGCCCCAACCCTGGAGGAACTGCCTGATGTTCCCAGCAATTGAGCAAGAGAAATATGGGGAGGAAGTCTGGAAGGGGCAAGTCCCCAATGAAACATCTCTTCTGTGAATGAAAGGGTTTATGTTGCCCTCATACGCACTGATGTCATTGTTAATGAACAGAAATATGTAAAGGCATTGAATTGTTAAGGAGAAATGCCAAACGATCATAAGGCTGTGGCTCAAAAGTCAGCCTTGTTACAAGGTGAAATGGCTGCATAGCTGTTCTTCCTCAATGCCTCCTCATAAGCTTGTGAAGTTCAATGCATAATGTCCCAGCCAACAAATAAAAGCAGATGACTTAAGCATATGAGCCAAGCAGATGTGCCACAGGAAAAGATGAATGCCTACCTCCCCTCCCCTACATGAGCATCATCTTCTAACAGCAGAGCTTAAAGGGATCTTATGGATCGTCAAGTCCAGCTCCTGTCAAGGAGACAAAGTAGGGAATCGATCTCCCAACCTTTGGCTCCACAGCCATATACCTAAGCCACTGGAGCTATCCAGCGGGCCAAGTTTGTCATTTGTCAAGAGCCAACAATGTTTTGGGCCATCAATTAAAGAACATGGCCAGAGGTGTCTATGTTGAGACCAAACATGACTAGTAAGTTATGTGGCAAGTGTAGTAACCACTCTTGAGCTGTATTTGCAGGGGAAGATTTAAAAACCTTCCTGACCCAAATGCGACAGTTGTTTAGGAGACTGTTTGCAAAATGTACTTTTCTGAGGAAACAACATTTTATTGTGTGGTTAGGCAGTGCCTGTTGAAGATCTCTTATGTGTGTCTACAACCAATATAAAATTGGTTTCCTTGCTTTAGAAAAGAGAGAGAGAGATGCATCTAAATGTAATTTGTTTTCTTGTTGACTTTTCCTACATCCAGTGTGACATCCTTTGCCGTTTCCTCATCAATTCAGCAGCACTTAAAAACTAACTGTTGCTAGCAACAGTTGTTGAGATAGCAAAACGGAGCAATTTCCAGAAGTGTAGCTTTATATTAGTTGCTTTCACTTTCTCCTAGCTATACGGCAACGGAGCTTTCTATAGAGCAATAAAAGGAAGAAAGAAAATAGAACAAGCTTGTTATATTTATTGTGAATAAGAGGGTTTTATCTCAGTGTGCAGTTTTACTTACAAAATTTAGACTTGTTGGCAATTTAAAATGTCATCTATAAACTCTACAGTTGGGGGTTATGATTGCAACAGCAGTTGGCTCTTTAAGTTTAACAATGCTAGAGAATGACAATTTAATGAAACACATAAATCCATGTCATTCCTTTAGAAGAGATTATTTGTGCAGCTTTGTTCTGTTTTTAAATGGTTTAATTCAGGGCTGTAATTATTCTGCTAACCACAAGATAGATGTGTTTTGCAGAAAGTTGGAATTCGATATCCAAAATATTCTGAAATTAATTTTATTTATTTATTTTCCACTTTCTCAGAAAGATACTAATTAAGACCCTCCTCAAAAAAAAAAAAAAACCCACACAATTGCTAGCTGTTTGGGGTTTTTTTTTTCACCTCCCTAAATCACTGGATTATTTTAATTGAATGCTCTTATTGTGAGTAGCAAATGTGGTGGATTCAAGGCCCCTGGAATGGGGCCAGAACCTGAACATTGGATAAATGCATCACTTCAAGCCATGCCTTCTGACACCCATTATGAATTTGTCCCTTTAATTCTAGCTGGGTATTTTAACAAAGCTTTGTGCCAGATTAGATGATACATTAGGATGAAATGATTTGAGTTTTATGCAAATGTACTCACTAATTAAAATAACTGGTGCATGGGGGGGGTGCGAAATTACCATGCTCTCTGCACTTCGTCTCTGGTTGAGACTCTTCAGATGTCGGTCTGCCTTTAAACTCCATGTTACGGTAGGAGCCCGTTTGGGTGCCGGCCCTTGGATTGGGATCTAACAGCCAGGCTTCTCAACTTTCCTTCTTCCCAAGAGTTTGCTGACAAATAGAGCCATTTGGAGCCTTCAGCTACATGTTGCTGAAACAGATGGGCCTGGGGATTGGGTGGTGGGGACAAAGGGGAGAAGGATTTCCTTGGCTTTGGCTTGTGCCATCTGTCTGTCTCCCTTTTGCAAACTATGCCAAGCCGATCTCCCCTGGGTCGTCCCTTCCACGTAAACACAGCATGAAGTGGCCAGAGGAAGAGAGGGGCTAGCCAGACCAAGATGTGGGAATCCTGACAATCTGTAATGAAGACGTAGCTGCAGGAGTCCTATTACTGCAGTTATCATTTCTTAAAATGCTTCTTGATACACACTGTGCTTAGCTGCACAGCTGACCACTGTATGAAGTGGATCGCTGTGTCCATTTTACAAATGGCAAATTGAAGCTCAGGGAAATGAGTTGTACAAAAAGACACACGGCAACAGAACAGAACTTGAACCTCCTGGATCCGCAGCGCTGCTAAGAAAGTGGACAGAAACTTACTGTTCCATGGCGTTGTGGTCTCCCCGCCAAAGACTGGGGTTAATGTCTTTGAATCTTGGGTGTGTCCTATGCCTGTTGTAGATTGTACGTTCAGCTCAACGCCCATAGTTGTAAAGTGAGAATCATTGAAACCTTTCTCACAGAGCAGGGATGGTTTATGATTAATAGTGTAAAGGTTGGAAAGAATTTATACCAGTCCATAGTTCTGTATAAAAATGTGGAATACTTTTTTCCCTTTCTGTCTCTGATTCCCGTTCTCTGTACTGGGTTGCTTTCCTTATGCTGTGGTAACAGCTGTTCTAAGAAGAATTATTTGCCCTTAATGAACAAATTGAACCACAATGATGGGCAGCAAGGGGCCATCTGAATCTAGCTGTTCACTCCATTAAGACATAGGAGGGAAACCTCAGGCTCCGAGGCCAAATCCAGCCTCAGACCTTCTCCAGATGTCCACGTATTCTTTCCTGTGGCACTATCATTTAGTGGTTTACCAGCTTTTTAATCGTTTTCTCCCTATTCTAAAAGGCTAAAGCACTTATCTGAAAGCTTAATTACTAGCAGCAAGAGCTTTAAGGTATAACATGCTGGGGGGTTTTGGAGGGAGAGTTGGCATACCCTTTTTGCTCCACCCACCTCTGGAACGTGATCTCAGGAGAATTTCTCTGAAATTGAATTTGGTCCTCTGGCCAAAAAGGGGTTATACACCCTTGCATTAAGAGCTTGTATTATATCAGCTGGTGTTTTGATGATATCTGATGGATGCTTACAATTATTTATGATCTCTTTCCAGATTGATTCATGGTGCAAAGAGAACAGCTATGTAATAGCCGGATACTATCAAGCTAATGAACGTTTGAAGGATGCCAGGTGCGTTTTTGCAGTTCTTGCTTAAGTGTGTAATGCAGTGGGGGCTGGTCTCCATTTTATAGAAGCTGAACAACATGAGTAGCACCAGGAACAAAAGAGTAGGATGTGGACTGGGTTCTGCCTGCGACAGTGATTTCAAGTTTGATTTCATTTCAGAATTTGGATGAAAAGGATAATTCTGCTTTTTAGCACACATTGAAGAAGGATCACAGAAGGAGAGCATGCTGTATTTTTATCGACTTAACTAGTAGTTACTATTTAATTGATGCCATGGTCTAGTTTGTTAGATCTTGTGAGGTCACATCTCAGCCCGGTTCTTATTTCATCCTGTTGGAGTGGAATTATAGTAATATCATATATGTAACTTCCCTTTCTTTTATAGTCCAAACCAGGTAGCTGAAAAAGTTGCTTCCAGGATTGCTGAAGGATACAGCGACCCAGCACTCATAATGGTACATAAGTATTTTCTTTTTTTTCTTTCTTATAACATTTACATCTTATCTGAAGGCAGTTCCATCAATTGATTGGAGAACCTTGGGATGCTTGCAGATCCTGTTGCTTCATTCTTGTTATTTGTAAACCCACAACTGGCTAGCACACTGCATACTAAGGAAGTATGTTCAGAACTGTGTTTTTTCCCAGAAAACACTGAAATTCTTTTAAATGTCTCAGGGTCCTTTCAGTTCATATATGTTAAAATAAAACAAGTAATGGAAAGAGAGCCCTAAAATAGGGATGGGGAGTTGGGGATCTCTTGGCCTATATTGATTTTATTTAGTCATAACCAAAAATACTGTAAACTTGACTTTCATGCTTGATGTTTCCAAGGTGATAGACAGCAACATGGATTGATTTATTTAATAGCATTTCTATGCTGCTTTTCATTATTAGTAATCTCAAACTGGCTTACAGTACAAGAATCCACCTTGTGTCCTGCCACCTGGGAGAAAGGCAGCATACAAGTGCAATAAATAAGTAAGAACAACACAACACAACCAGTGGCTAAAAACAACAAATAGTACAACTGATTAAATGACATTATGATAAAACCAGGAAGGAAGGAAGGTTGGTTTGTTACATTTCTATCTTTATTTGAAAAAAGAAAAGAATTTTGAACTGTCATCTTCAAAGATTGTGCATGTGCCTGCATTAAGATAGTTGTCAGGGGTTCTGTTTTGGGTGGCTGCAAGCCGAGGGTAGTTGGCTAGCAATCCAGGGAAAGGTCCTTCTCAGCTGTGACCGAACACCTTCCTAAGGACATTTTGCTAGGAACCAGCATGTCTTTTATTGAAACGGTTTGCCCACAGTGGTTATTGGTGGTTTGGGCCAGAATTTCAGTGTATTTCCATTCCTTGAACCCTGAGGAAGAGAGAAAGCCACTGGTGCCTCATAGGGCTTATAGCATAGTTATTTATGCTCTACTGTACCATGATATGGTATAGCTAAAGGAAACATTCAGATCTCCTCACAGTAGGGATCCCCCAAGTCAAGGTGGAAGAGATCCCCTTTTGAGGTATAGTGCCTAATGGCAGAAAGACCACCATGACATGGACAACCTGAAAGGTTTCTCTACCCTGGCTACCCTGTATTGAAACCAGCAGTAGTACGGTAACACACACACACAGTGTCTAGATAGGGAAACTGTTATATGCTGAAAAGATAACATAGCAGATGACATAACATGTTATCTGTTGTAATAATTAAGTGTATTGTATTTCCATTCCTTGAACCCTGAGGAAGAGAGAAAGCCACTGATGCCTCATAGGGCTTGTAGCATAGCTGTTTATGCTCTACTGTACCATGACATGGTATAGCTAAAGGAAACATTCAGATCCCCTCACAGTAGGGATCCCCCGAGTCAAGGTGGAAGAGATCCCCTTTTGAGGTATAGTGCCTAATGGCAGAAAGACCACCATGACATGGACTGAACCCTGAGGAAGAGAGAAAGCCACTGATGCCTCATAGGGCTTGTAGCATAGCTGTTTATGCTCTACTGTACCATGACATGGTATAGCTAAAGGAAACATTCAGATCCCCTCACAGTAGGGATCCCCCGAGTCAAGGTGGAAGAGATCCCCTTTTGAGGTATAGTGCCTAATGGCAGAAAGACCACCATGACATGGACAACCTGAAAGGTTTCTCTACCCTGCATTGAAACCAGCAGTAGTACGGCAACACACACACACACACACACACAGTGTCTAGATAGGGAATCTCTTACATGCTGAAAAGATAACATAGCAGATGACATAACATGTTATCTGTTGTAGTAATTTATATTAGAAATAGGCATGTAGCACCTAAAAGGCTGAGTAGTTTCAGGACGTGTGCTTAGAACTGCTTGGTAGCTCAGTGGAGCCAGAAGGTTGTGAGTTCCGTTCCACACTGTGCCTTCTTGACAGGGGCTGGACTTAATGATCCATAGGGTCCCTTCCACCTCTGCCGTTCTATGATGCTATGACATGCAGAAGCTTATGAATAAAATAAACTTTCACATGTCTAAGCACACTTCTTCATGTTATATGCTGAATAGCACTAATTTATGTAGTTGTTTTAAAAAAAAGTTATCTGGCCAGGTCAGCCTGTTATTTCTGTGTTAAATAAAGTGTCTCTTAGCACAACAGCTTTGTAAATACAGGCTGCCACAAGCAGTTTCTGTCTAAGTTCACAGCTTGCACTAAGCTTTTGAGACTTTCATAAATTTTTTTCTGTGCTATCCACAATATTTTGGTTCTCTGCCCAGTGAAGATGAGTATAGGTTGGAAGCTTTACATATAATTTTTAAATTTTCTGTGTTCTAATAAAGGTATCACCTGCTCTTGTTTTGTATTGTGTAAGAACTACAGTTTTTGTTTGTTTTCATTAAGCGGCTGACATTTACTGTGTGCAGCAATGACTGAAATCCTGTAGAAAGCTGCAGCTAGAATAGGCCCATTGAATCAGTGGGTATTTGCTGAGTCCACTCCTCCACAAGTTCCATTGATTCAGTGGACCCACTCTAGTTGTGACTTACTACTAGATTTCAGCCAAGGTATAAATGCATTTCCTATAGCAAGGCTCCAGTCTGATTCACCCACCAGCACTTTTCTTGTGCTGGTTCAGTGCACAGCCACAGAAGAATGCTGTGCAAGTTCTCGATTATGGAGCCCATGAAGTGGCCAAAGGTGGCCAGATCAATCCAGCTTTTGTACAGCTTCAACTGAGTGTGTCTCAAAAGTGTCCCAAAATTCTCTGCAGTTTGCTGAGCTTTTGTAACCAACTTCTGTGGTCTATTCAGCAGATGACTCAGACTAGAAAGTGCTGTATGAAGTTTGAAAAACCACTTCCGGAAAAGGAGCCTCTGCTTGCGTTGGTGTATAGTTAATTCTCAGAAAGGCCGAATTTGAGGTGGTGATTTTGTGTATGTGAATTGCATCCCGTGCAAGAGGAGTGCTTCTTCAGAATCACAGGGCATCCATACGCCTAGGCCAGGGTCTCCGCGTAATTTCCCATTAATGGCCAAAGTGCGAGCAACTCTACTGGGACCCTGACTGCCTGTTTGAGCACCTGCGTTTCTCATGTAAAGCAAATGCCTCTCCTCTTTGTGTTCTGCATTAGGTGGATAATACAAAATTTACAATGGAGTGCATCGTACCAGCGGTTCATGTATACGAGCACCATGAAAACAAATGGAGGTGCAAAGACCCACATTTGTGAGTATTCTGGAAATCAGTCTTTGTCCTTCTGGCAAGAGACTTCCTACTTAAGAAGATAAATGGCATGTAAATCTCTGTATGTTACTTTTTTTGTTTATTCCAAATGAATTCCAAAGCTAGGTTGCCTATAAAAACAACACGTACAAAACCCACTCACCCCCCCAAAAAAAAACAACCTCTGCAGCCACTCCCACATATCTGGAAAAAATGACTAAAGCCCTACAGTATCAACCCAGGTTTATAGTGACAGATTTACTAATAAATATAAAATGGGATGTCAGGAACAGAGTGCCAGTTTTCACTAGTATATCACCTTTTGTCTACCCACATTTGTGAGTATTCTGGAAATCAGGCTTTGTCCTAGCAAGAGACCTTCCTACTTAAGAAGATAAACGGCATGTAAATCTCTGTATGTTACTGTATGAATTCCAAATGAATTCCAAAGCAAAGTTGTCTATAAAAACAGCATGTACAAACCCACTCACCCAAAAAAAAAAAAACCTCTGCAGCCACCCCCACATATCTGGAAAAAATGACTAAAGCCCTACAGTATCAACCCAGGTTTATAGTGACAGATTTACTAATAAATATAAAATGGGATGTCAGGAACAGAGTGCCAGTTTTCACTAGTATATCACCTTTTGTCTGAATAAGTAATTTATGATAATAATAATAATAAAGCCAATGAAGTCAAAAGCAGCAACATGAAAATCGCCAAGGCAGAGTTGGACATGTTGAAGGGAGAATGGGAAGGGAAGATGCAGGATGTAGCATCTTAGTACATTCTGGCCGTAGTACTATACGTTCAGTTTTGAAAAGTTTCTGGAGCTTTGCCATGCTTTTCCTACTGTCTCTGGTATGTGTGCTGGCTTAATTGCTGTACTTTTGCCCCAGCATTGGCCTTGTTCGAGTATAACATTAAAGCTAAGTGTATGGATGAAGCTTCTGCTTGAGTATTACCTTTTCTCCTCTTCCTGTCTGGTTTGGACACAAGGAAAACAGACGACTTTGCTTTATTTTTCTGCTCACGCTCAGTTTTGCATTAGATTCAAGCCCTAAACTGTAGTTCATCTTTATTATAGTGAAGTCATCTTCAGTAATTAGGGTTTACAGTTGCTAGGTTTTTGACGTAATCGTTAGGACTAACTGGAGGTTGTCTAGCTGTGGTTAGTTATAAACAGAAGTGTATGCTTGCAGCTTCCTTGTGACCATGCTGGGCAAGGCGAGAGTGAGCAACAAACCTAAGGACTGCCCATATGCACAACACTAGCTTGCAGCTTCCTTGTGACCATGCTGGGCGAGGCGAGAGTGAGCAAACCTAACGACTGCCCATATGCACAACACTAAGCCTTAATTCTGGGGCAGCACCTAAATGAAGCTACTTCACGATCCGATACAGAGCTCTTCAGTAGAATTTGGAAATCTCCAAGGTTCTTAATTGTGAAGAGCATTGACTGAAGCTGTATAAAAGTTTCATAGTTTAGTTGAGTCCTTGCTATACTGTGCTGTAAGATTTTCCTTTGCTTTTGCACAAACAGGATTGGAGGCTGGTTCATTCATCTAAAAGGCTACTAATTTTCTTATTTTCCCCCTCCCATTTCCTAGTGATTACTGTGAAGACTGGTCAGAAGCCCAAAGGATCTCTGCCTCACTTTTGGACAGCCGATCCTACGAAACGCTAGTGGATTTTGATAATCATTTGGATGACATTCGGAACGATTGGACAAACCCAGAAATTAATAGAGCTGTCTTACACCTCTGTTAGGGAAGCTCTTACTGACTTGACTTAATTGGCATTTCCACTGCACTGGAGAGAAAGACTGAAGCAGGGGTGAGGGGTGGGGAGAAATTGTTTTTGAATGTAAATAGAATACGCATGGTTCCTTCAGCTGGAAAGCCAATGAGCAAGACACATCCCTTGGAGAAGGATGTGTCCCTATGCAGTCAGACTTTTGAATGAGAATCCTTGGGGTGTTAACCCTAAGTTGTGATCTTCTTTGCAGATTCCCTTCCCCCCATCATATGTTGCTGTAATTTTCCAGTCAGGAACTAGATCTGCTTGTCCAAACGATTCATATTTAAAAAAAAGTTTTGACTAACATTTTATAACCTTTAGAGAGTAATTTTTAAGAAACAAAAAAAAAGATTTATGGGATATCTTTCAGAGAGTTAATTACTCACTTTATTTTTTAAATATTGAAATCTAAACTATTAGTGAAAATTATGTGAGCGGTCTGAGAGCTGTCATTCTCAATGCTAACCGCTGGACATTGTGTGCCACTGTACTTGTTACGATGACGTACCACACAGGGAGAAAATGGTAGCTTGACAAGCAATAGGTCCTCAGACCCTGCCAGGTTTCCCAGGTGCTCTGGGAATGATGCAATTTTTATTTTATTTTATCGCCTGCCAGATTCAAAATGTTATTGTTCCATTTGGTTTCATCTTCAATGGTTTGCTCCTTCCCTGGATTTGTCATGTCATGGATTGATCAACAAATCCACGTGAGTTTTGGGGTCGGTGTATTTGTTCTTAAGGAAAAAATGAAGTAACTCTTATTTTGTGACTACACAAGCATGTGTTAAATGTACTGAGAGAGATAATAACAGTGTCTTTTAGTATCTTCCTGGCTGTGTTTAGACAGAGGGGAGAACTTGAGCACTTCAAGCCTTGGGCTCATGCACTCCCTCCTCACTTTCTCCCTTCCTCTGGATGTCAGGGAGGAGACTGTCATAGATTCCTGGATTTGCAACACATACATTGCCCCCCAAACTATGAGCTGGCATTCTGATTTCCATAAGCCATCATATGTCAGCTTTAGATAGCAGCCAACTTTTCTCTGCTACAGGCCTGGAACAGAAGTTTTGAATCTTCTCCTCTCCCTCCTAAAAATGTGTGAGTCTAAAGTTTGCCATGACATCCCATTGTAGCTACTGTTTGCGAACATTTTCACATAAATGAATTGCAGAACTTCCAAAGGGGGTTCTTGAAAAATAAGCCCAACACAAACAGGATGCACACAGCTCTTCTTAAGCTGCACTGAAATTATTGGGAGTTGCACACAAGCACAGCAAGTGGGTCTTTCATGGGAAATGCTCCTCTTTCGTAATATCCCTTATTTCTTGGCAGCAGTCTTCATGAAATGAGTCCCAAATAGTCACACTCGGTATTGAAAGAAAAAGAGGACAAACTGTCCAGGCCTAGATTGTTTATAAACAGCTAATGAAGTCTGGTGCTGAATAAAGTTATATGCACTGTTTTATGTTTTTAAAAACTGAAATGCTGCACAAGGTTGTATCAACATCAGTGTACTCTTTCCAGGTTACCTTTGGATAAAATTATCTCTTTAGTCTGAAAGAGCTTTATCACAAAATGGCAGGGAATTCTGTTTTCCTTGATGACAACTTAAGCAATTAAGTTGACTGCAACTTAACTTTCCTTTCCTTGTGAAGCAGTATTTCACTCTGAAATCCATCAGCTGCTTATAAACGATTTAATTCATTTTCTTAAGCACCAGATTTCTCATCGTTTTTCTTGCTGACTTGGTGCTGTTTTCCCTCATCCTGCTGGCACTCAGTACTGATCCAATTTTGTCCACTCAAAATACATTTGTACTGTAATGGTCTTGCAGCATAAAAGGGCCTTCAAGTATTTAGTACTGGTGAGTGTGGGTTGCTTTATTTTCTTTCTTCGAATTTACCTTGTCATGGAGGTATGTGGCATCACCTTTGTCATTATTTTGTATGTTTTGATTGGTTTTTTTTCTACTCCTATGGACTCTGTATTAGCCTTAACCTTTATTTATGACAGTCTACATTTTACGCGGTGAGAGTCTGAGGTTTTGTGATGAAAAAACCTGTTTAGCTGACCACTTGTGCTTTCTTGCTTCCCCCATCACCTTGAAAATAAAACTGATGAAACAAAACTTTGCTTTTGTCAGAAAACTTGTGTTTGTTGGTACACTAGGTAGTTCTTACCAGTATTTGTTCTTATCGCACGGGGTGGAAAAGTCTGGATTCTGAAGACTAGAGTTGGTACTTCTGTGGAAAGCATTTTTATCTCCGTGCTTTTAAAATTTGTACTCTCTGAAAGCAATGTTTGAATTGCCTGACTCTAGGCCAGGCACATCATTGGCTGGGTTACCCTGCCTCTTTGTCTAATGATTTTGCTTCCTCTGGTAATGCCAAATGATGAGTGTGTGTTTGTGAGCTTATACAAGAGGTTTTTTTTTATGGAGCATTTATTGTCAGCTGGAAAACATTTTACAGATAGAAATCTTTCCTGGCTTGTATTTCACTAAACAGCTTTGCTGGTATGCATGTTTAAGTGAACTGCTCAAGAAAGAGCAGAAAGCACCTCTGATCCTGTTGGTGAAGAACAGAAAGCAGAGAGTAGCGGTCAGCTCCAGAGCCTGGAAATGCTTTCTCCCATTCTACCTACCTTGTATACCATCACACGTATTGACACCCACTCCTCTGGCCAGTTTACAGAATAGACCAGTGAACTTGCCACCTCACCTCCATACAAACCCAAACGATATGGAAACGATCAACTCTTTAAAAAAAACACCCTAAATTTAAAAATTAAAAGTTCACAAAAGCAGGGGATATGTTCTTGAACGCTGCTTTATAAACTTCTATCTTTAGTAACGTCTTAACAGTGAGGAGGGACAGAGGCTGACACACCTCAAACATAAGTTTATTCCACAGAGTAGGAGTAAGGGCCACCAAGAGTAGGGCCACCAAGAAGGCCCCATTTCTTATTCTATAATTTGGGCAAAGTGGCCGGCACTGGCTAGAGAGCTCTGAGAGATGTAGTCAAAAATGTTTCTAAGCTGTGGTACAATCTAGCAAAAGATGCATGTGAGCATGGCAACAGGCAGCTCTGATCTTCTGTGTAAAGAACAGAACGCAGTAGTGTGTGGTGAGTTCTGGAACTCGGAAACATTTATATTCTTAAACTCCATCTCCCAGAATGTAGCAGCTGGTAGTCAGTCCTTCAAGGATCTCTTATTAGAACTTGTGCATTTTAACTTGTTCGTAGATGACTTGGGGTTAGGGGTAAATAGTGAGGTGGCCAACTTTGCTGATGGCACCAAATTATTTAGAACAGAGCAGAAGTGGATTCCAAAAGAATCTCTGGATGGTGAGAGGAGAGGGATAGGCATTAAATGCCAGATGAGACTCAACATAAGGAAGTATAAAATCAAGCAGTTTGGGGCAACAACAACAAAAACCCAGCTTTGCGAATAACACTGAGGGTCTCTGAGCTGGCAGTGGCTGATGGAGAAAGGCACAGGGATAATTAGCATGACGAAAAAGTTAATCCATTGAGCAGCTGCTGTTTGGGTTGGGTTTTTTTAAAAGCTGATTCCATACGGAGCATAATTAGAACAAGAAAACCTCCAACAGCTATGGAGCAATCACATGTTGAACATCGTATACAAATATGGCCACTGCATCTAGAAAAGGATATTACAGAGTTGAAAAAAGTATAGCAAAGGGCAGCTAAAATGACCACATCTCTGGAACTGGTTCTTGCAATGAAAGGTTACAGTGTTTGGAGCTGTTTAGCTTTGAGGGTGGAGGGAGGCAGGTAAGGGAAAGCATTATAGAAGCACCATGTGTATAAAATTATGCATGGTGTGCAAAAAATGGATGTGAAGAAGGTGATCTCTGGCTTTCACAGGCCAAGAACATGGGGTCAAACAATGAAGTTAAACCAGAGAGAGATTCAGCAGGAGGGATTTGCTTCACCTTAGCAGAGCTCACCGGTGGAATTTGTTATTGTGATGTAGCAATGGTAGGCAGCTTGGATGTTTGCGACATTTAAATGGGGACTGGAGAAATTAATGAACGATGGAAGCTCTCTTGGCTACCAGTCATGCTAGATATGTCCTCAGTCATTCCAGAGTGCAGGACAATATTGGGCTCAAGTTACAGGAAGTCAGATTTCTGTTGAATATCAGGAAAAAATTCCTAACAGAGCAGTAGGACAGTGGGACCTTTGGAGGTGGTGAATGCTCCATCGCTGGAGGCATTCAAGAGAAACTTAGACAAGCACCTGGCATATAACCTTTGATTTGTATTTGTGCATGGAAGAGGGGGAGGCATTCAAGAGAAACTTAGACAAGCACATGCCATATATCCTTTGATTTGTATTCGTGCATGGAACAGGGTTTTGGACTTGATAGCCTTATTAGCCCCTTCCAACTTCACTATTCTATGATTCCATGGTTTCCTGCAGTTCTAAAAATAGTATAACTGTATGGTGGGAAACATGGAGAAAAGAGGGTGCTGTTGATCTCATGACCTGCTGGTAGGTTTCTGGTAGGCAAGTGGTTGGCTGCTAAATGAATGGGATGCAGGACTCCATCGGCTTTTGGTCTGATCCAGCATGATTCTGATATTTACTGGAGGGAAGATATTGCCAGTTGGATGCCTGAACCAGGAAGTCCCTTCCCCTTTTTGCAGTCCACTGTATCCACAAGAGTAGGGCCACTCAAAGGAGAGTCTGCAAAGATGGCGGTGGGAATGCACTCTTAGTATGGTAATAAATATAAAATACCATTAATGAGTCATCAATGTGGGTCACAGCAACTCTCATTCCCACTTTCACTTTCTCACAAAAAAATTAAAAGGAGAGAATACTTCTTATGATGGGCACTTGCTTTCTGCAGGTTTGAGTTGCCCCAAATAAGACTGTTATTAAAATGTAATATGTCAACCAGTTGAAAAAGGTACCCTCAGCTGATCAAACTATTTTGAATCAGTGATGGCTAGCCATCGTTGTCCCACTGCTCTTCTTGATTGTGATGTTCTGTTGAGATTTCATGAATCTCTTAGGTTGTAACCTGCTTAGAAGTTGTTTGGAGCTTTAGAATTTGCTGTGAAAATTTGAACTCCAATAACTACTTTAAAATGACATTTAGTTCTGCTCAAACTTCCCTCTACCCTCAGGGACCCATAAAGCTCGGTGCATGTGACGTTTCAGAGAAGAAATATATTGCTCAGTTGAACTCAGGTGGCTATGGGGTGGAATCTGGGGTTCACCAGAGGGTCATGCTCCTGATTTTGCAGGCTTCCTCTGTTCTGAAAAGTTGAGATGTCCCTTTGAAGGCATATTTGCTGGCAGTAAGAGATTTAAACAAAAATGCTCTGATATTCTTGGCCCTACCTCTTTGCTCCCTGCACCATCCCTGTAATTGGTATTACAGAGTTCTCTGAAAATCATTTCCTACCCGTGGTTTAATCAATGCAACATATTGTTCCTAAAATTTAAGGGAATAGATCCAGGTGAAATTTTAAAAAAAAGATCTCACTGAAATCACCAGGATTTAGGTCATCTCATAACAGTGGTGTGGGTGTGAATGAAGCATGGCAGCCTGCCCAGATCTCCAGAAGCGGAACCCACCACATCCATGAAGTCCTGGGGACTCCTTAGAAGGCTTGATCTGCCTTCTCCTTCAATGCCAGTCTGCAGAAAGCTGGGGTCAGCAGCTGATTCAGTGAATAGAGTGCGGGCAGACGAGGCCTCTGCAACCCAAATTAATCACTCAAGACTCTAGCCTCTGCACTGCTCGAGAGACAAGGTAAGTGTAGGAAATTGTTGGACCTGTTGCTTGTACGGGCTTTTTTCTGGACACCTTAGTGTTTGTTCAGTCATGATGAGATAGATCAAAAACGTGCTGTTTGGGTGTCGACAAGACCTTTTTCTTGGCTTCTAAAGAGGCAGGCACACTGATGGACAGCCAAGAGGATGCAGCAACTGCGGGAAGCCTCTCCGTTTCTTCCTGCCGTGCAGTTGTTAAAAGGCACAGGGGAAGACGCTAGACTGAGGCGGCAAATGTTCCTAATCCTAGCAAAAGTACAATCTTGCAAGCTGCTGCAGCCACAGAGCGAGGGTGGGTTATCTCGCCCTCTTTCGTTCATTTGTTCAAAACCTTGACTGGACCATCTCAAAAAGCTTTTATTTACTGTATTTATTTATTTTGCTGTCATGGGTGTTTTGCTTCCTGATTGTATGTTTCATTCATCATGTGGGTGAATGGAACAAAGCACGCCGTTCCAATTCTCCAGAAGTTGAATCCAAGTCTGAACCCACAGCACCTACGAGGTCCTGGAAACACATCAGGAGCATCACAATGCATCACTGATCCACTGTCTCCTGCCCGGACCAGTTTCCTGGAAGCTATATATAATAGGACCTCCCTATCCACAGGATCAGTATCCACTGATTCACTTATCCGCTGGCTGAAAATACTAAATAGCACCCCCTGAAATACCTATTTATATGTATTTCCAGGGTGTATTGGCCACTAGAGGAAGCCAGAAACCATGTATACTTCCACGTTTTTCAGCACCTACGGCAGGGGGTTTGGAGCCGATCTCCCACAGTCCTACTGTATATATACCTGAAGTTTGGGGGATTTATGTGCACTTGATGAAGTGAGATGGAGTCCACAAGCATTCATGCAATGACAAATTGTTTTTTCTTCAAAAGAACATAGGACTCCAGGCTGAAATCAGATTGCTTAAATGCTGGCAGGGCCCTTTCCTAGTAGCACCTGTGGGTTTTTATTCTAGCTCCAGTAATTGGTTTCTTTAACAAAAGAAGGCGGCATTATTTCACAGATCTGTCTGCTCCCTTTCCAACTTATTTTGGATTTTCAAAATAGCACATCAAAACACCTTGATGATGGGAGTTGTAGTTCAGCAACACCTGGAGGGTTACAGGTGCCCCTATCCCTATTCAACTGAAAGGTAAGAGAGGGGACCATGCAGCCCTGTGGCTGCACACCAAATCCCATGAACCCAAGCGAACATGGCCAGTGGAAGGGATTTGATGGCAGTTGTCCTGCATTTGAAGGGCCACAGAAATCTCTCTTGCCCCTTGCTAACTCTGGTTTGCTAACTCTCTATTCCA